TGCCCTATCTAGGGCATGGCTCCTCATGCCTGATGGTCACAGATTGAAACTGTGTTATTTCTCCTTAATTCATTTTTTTATTTATATGTAGAGAAGGGAAAATCTCAAGTTGAGTCCTTGAACTTTTAGGGAAATCTAAAAACTGGTCTGAAACTTTAGAAACTCACAAAATAGTCCCTAAAATTAATTAAATAAAAACCCAATTAAGATTATTAATGTTAGCCCAAAATTTTTGGGGTGTGACACTTAGATTTTTTTTCAAGGCCCAGACATCTTATTGAATATGATTTTGAAGCATGAAATATCAGTCAACTTGAAACATTTTTCAAGCAAATTCAAACGTTTCGAGGGCTTGATGTCTTGGGATATGGTCGACTTTCAGTTAGCTTTGCAACGTATTTTAAAACACCTCAATTAGGCATCGAGAACTAAAGATATACTTATTTTAGCAAAGACAACACGTGCAAAAAATTTGATACGAGTCCAATACGAGAATTTTAATTTATTGCGAATTTTTAATTATGTTATTGAATATTTGTAATTATGTTCAACTATAAACTTTCCTTTGTTTATATAGAGTGATTTAGGATTTTTTATGGTAGGATTTATTTTCTTTTAATTAGTGTATATAGCATTACTGAAAAGATGCTATGTTTTTTTTTATTTTAGAGTTTTTGGGAGCCTATAATATGCACTCTTATTTTGTAATGTCACCAAGAATTGTAACAAAAAAAATAAGAGCAATAAGAGAAAACATGTGATTAAGCTAATTTTTTTTTCTTTTGTGTGTTCTTTTATTTTGTTCAATTTCAATTTTTATTTCTCTTCTTTAAAATTTTTTATTGGTGGAGAGAAAACTAAAGAACAAGAAAAAAAGTACTTTTAAATAATCTTGATAGATTTAGTATTCCTTGAGATTTCTCGATGAAAATTGATGGTGGTTCTTGAATGGATTTTTTTTATTTTTTTTTAATTTATTTTGATCCTACTTTAATTTTTTAATTTTATATTTGATTAAATGATCCAATGACCCGATCCGAATCCCTTAGAGGATTCATGCTTTCAGGTGGGTAGGTGATATTTATGATCATAGTTCCTCAAATTATTTGAAAATTTAATTTAATCCTTATTTCCTAAACCCCGTTTTAGTTTCTTCCTTATCAGAACCTCAATTTTCTTTTTAATTCAACCACTTACCTTTCTTTTCCTTTACGTTTTATTAGTCAAAATTTGATTGCTCCTCCATAACTTATCTCTTTATTTTTAAAATTTAACTATTTTCCATTTTGTTTATAATTTTACTTTAATTTGTTTATTTGCCGTGTGATGCCATATGCTTGATTTATGTTATATGTTTCCTTTAGTTTTCTTTTTCCATCTCTTTTTTCTAAGATGAGGTATAGTTTCCTTTAATTTATGCTATATGTTTTAATTTACTATCTTGCTTTAATTTGTTTAGTTGCATTGTTTCCTTTTTATTTATGCTTTAATTTTAGTTTTAAGTTGATTTATTTATTTCCTTTATGTTACGCATTTTTTAATCCCTTTTTTACTTTTATGATTTTTATTCTTTTTACATTTGTACGTATTCATTTAATATTATTTTTAACTTCCGTTTTTCTTTTATTAACTTATTCGCGTGAATTACATTATTTTTTATAAATTGGTACCTTGACCTATTCTTTGTTTTGCAATATTATTTTAGTCATTTAACATTTTTTTAAGGAACCCTTTCGAATCTCGAAAATTCATTGAAGGTAAGTATTATGGACCGACATTTAAATTTTTATCTAAATTTCATTTTCATGATTAAGACAATCGGATAATTGTGTTGGTACTGAAAGGATAATACAAGAGTGTTAATTCTTCTTTGAATGTAATTGATTCTCGAATTCGACTTTTCTCTGGTTAGACACAGACCTAGAAAACGGTAAGTAGATGTTCGATCTGCCTCATTCAAAACGATCGATGACAACTCCATCACGATTCAATCCAAGTTGGAACGCTAACCCGAGACCACAAAAAAAACTTTGCGACATATATACTTAAATTTAAGGGTAAAATATATAAGTTATTGAACTTTTAAGTTATTTTCACTTTGATTATCGAAATTGAAAAACTTTTTTTTGTCATTGATATTAAAAAACTCTTTTTTTGTCATTGATGTTAAAAAACAGTTTTATTTGATTTAACGCCAGATGATGTGATGTAGCACGTGTTATTTTTTAAAATAAATTAATATATTTTAATAAAATGACAATACATGTTAGCATCTGAGCTAAAATAAATAAATGGAAAAAATAACATATTTTAAGGTGCATCAAACCTACGATAATTTGGGAGAAAGTATCATCAAATTATCTAACTAATGAACTTGTTATATAAAAAATATAATAAATATATGACTCATCAAGTGATATATGTAGTTAAGGGATGCGTTGTTCTTTCTAAAGACCATATGTTTAAGTAGTTGTATCTACGAGCGTGTTAATGTTATCAATGATTAAAAAAAGATTATGAATAAATATTAATTTATAATCATCTTAAATTATTAAATAATAAATATTTAACTTAAAAAATAAAGGATAAATTAAGAAAAAATGCGTGACTTGAAGCCCTTTAGTAGGTTCTTGCTCCCTTAGCCAAAGGTTCTGGTTGACATTAACGCATTCCTCTGCATTAATATGAAGCATGTAGTTTCCCCTTTTACATTGACAATTTTATTTCTTGTGAGTATAATAAAATGAAAACATTTACTAAGATGATTATATATTATTAGCCAGCTGGGTTTAGCAGCAGAATTTACAGACGAGGCACCCAATCCTATGTGAGCCACATGCTTTGACAAAACAATCTGCATTTCACCTTCATTCTCTGCAAAAAAAATTTTGCAGCAATGTTTTCCATTATTAAGCAAGCAAACAAAACCAATACATCTAAAATTGGGTAATGTACAAAGGAATCTGCAGTAGCATACCAAGCATATGAGAAATGTCTCTAGGGCCTTTTTAACATGCCCTTCGTCTTCTTCTTGTTTGATGACATCTAAATGTTTATAACTTTGATCCCATTAGATGGTCCGGTAAAAGGGAATTTTATTCTACTTAGAGGATTTAAATTCGAGTAATTATGTAATTAAGAAAAAAAATTGAATAAATACTATCTTATAACCACTTTTATATGAAATTATGAAAGGTAGTTTAGTTCATCACTCTTATAGTCTCTCGTGCTCGAACCTGAGATCTCTGAGGATAATAATTATCTTTTCAACCACTTACTAATTCGTGTAATATTTGAAAGAAAGTGGAATTATTTTAATAATTAAAAATCTCGCATTATTTTCAAAGAAAGTGGGATTGTTTTAATAATTAAAAATCTTGCATTGGGTCTAAATTCAATGTATTTGTGTTAGTTGTTACGAGCCTTAATTTTATATAATTTTACCTATTAGGAAAATCCAAAAATAATCAAATATTGTTGGTCAAATAGAATAAAGGATTAACCAACCATAGTCGAAAAAGTGACTGTAAATTTTCCAAATATTTAAAATAAATTTAATCGGGACATTTTTAAAGAAAAATATCTAAAAATTAACAGTGATGTACAATAAAGCGTAAATTATGCCCTACCCATTTAATTATGGATATATTTTATTTTAACTATCAATCTTTTAAATTTATCAATCACACTACTTAACTATTTAAATAATGTTAACCAAGCTATCTATCATTAACATTTGATAAAAATATGTAAAGATTAAATATGCTATTAAACTAATTTTCACGTCAACACTTTAGTTAAAAATAAATATTAAACATTTTATAAATATCTTTGAATAAATATATTTTTGAATTAGATCGAATTCAATCATGTTTACATTAGAAAATCATATTTGGGTAAATTACACGTTTTCTCATTGAACTTTATTTTCTCTCCTATTTCATTCACCGTACTTTCAATTTTTTCAATTTGCTCACTAAACTTTAGACATTGAATTTTTTTGATCACTCGACCATTTACTTAGTAACGACATGCTCACATGGCTTATTTTAATAATAAAACATTCCACGCGTTTACTCACTGAACTTTACTCTATCTCCTATTTCACTCACTGTACTTTTAATTTTTTTCAATTTTAATTTAACGGCGTTAGAAATTTAACGGTCGAGTGACCAAAAAAAGTTTAATGTCTAAAGTTCAGTGAGCAAATTGAAAAATTAAAAGTACGGTGAGTGAAATAGGAGAGAGAGTAAAGTTCAGTGAGTAAGCGACCCAAAATATTTTGAACCTAAACCCTAAAAAATAATGCCCAACTCTGATAGAAAAGACTTGCTACTACAGTACGAACCAACTTATCTCAGTGGTTAAAGGAATCGTTGTTGTTCCCAAATGCCACGGGTTCGAGCACCAACGACTGCAATAGGGCAATTGAGCGTTTATTATCAAATGGTTGAGAGTATTTAGAACATATACTACTTTGTAATCACCTTAGGTTAATAAAAAAAAGAATTACTACTACTCAAATCACATAGATGGACAGCTAGCGGAAATATAAGAAAGAAAGAAAAATTATATATAGTTCCTTTGAGCATTTCTTGATAACTAATTACATTGAAAGCGTATTACAGTTTGCAAAGCATCCCATACATTTCTAGACTTACAAGGTGTGAAAAATGGAAGATCAAATGAGTCGTTTTATGTGAAGAATTTAGTTACAAAATGTCTGAAACAACGAAACCCACTTCTGTCTTGTCTTTAAACATGAGAATCCTTGCCTGGATTCTTCACTTCTTCCCCTTCTTTCTCTAAATCCATATATGCTTGCTTCATCCTTGTCTTTCATCTGTACAAACAAAACATCAACATTTGTTAAGCGAACATATTATTTGCAACTAAATCTGGCATCTGAAGATACATTTTATATTACATTACCTGAGAGCCCAATGGATCAGGTAGTTTCATTTGGGCCTCTTGGGTGCAAAAATAAGAATAGAAGCCCATGATATGTCACCGGCGATGTTTTCCCAATTACCAGAAATGTGCTGAAGTTTACGGATACTGAGATTATGCATGAGAGGATGATAAATGCCTGCAATAAATGTTTCAAAATCCAATCCCATGTCAAATTATGATTTTGGTCCCTCCAATACATTCAAGTTCAGGATTAAGTCCCTATAATTTGAGAAGTATGGTTTACAGTACCGAGACAATAGGGGAATATTTGAAAGCAAACACATTTTGTTTGGTCAGAAACTGGTCGACCGAAGGACCTGAGACAAAAAGAATGGCCGCCTGAAATGGGGCTAATTGGTACAGCAACTGGGTTGAAGATACATTCAGCCTCTTCTGTATGGTGTTTGTCAGCTATGCTCTTCAAGTTAAGGTTATAAAAAGGTCAAATTGTTATTTTGGTCCCTTTACATTCTCAGAATTCGAGGACAATAGGGGGACTAAAAAATAATTAAACCATAAAAAGAGAGCAATATAGATACACAAAAAAAAGATACAATTTGGCCAACACATGTGGTGACAATGGCTAGGAGAGAGTGATAGATGCAATGCCAACACCAACAAGTAAAAGGAAGAGTGAGAGACTCTTTCTGTAATTTGTCCTTTTTATGCCTAATATTTATTTTTAAGAATATTCTTTAAAATAGACCTTATGCTTGCGCATGTTTATATTTCGAACATCAAATATGTTTTTATTTATTTTAATTCATGTATGAAGTTTTAAATTATATTAATTTAGTCACCATGTTTTGTTTGTTTTTATTTTAGCACTTAATATTGAAAATATTTATTTTAGTCCCTAGTATATTTTAGTTTTATTTTAATTTTGGCATGATAGTTTGACTATTTATGTTTTAGTCCTATTTTTACTTTTATTTTAATTTTTGCATGTTGTTTGCATATTAGTTCAGTTTAGTCCTTATTAATCTTGCATGATATCCTCATAAGCATTGCCTGACTCGAATCGCAATAAATTAACTAAAGGTAATAATCGATCATTTTAATATTGTCGTAAAGTGATTGTCTTAACGTATAAGAAAGTTACTTTCGATAATTTTAAAACGAAAGTCTATCCCGTTAAGTGACACCAATTAAATTGAATCCATTTTTAAAATTAAGGGATTGAGGAAAAGATCGTATTCTTTATATTAAATTCATCGAGAAAAGACTGCTAGATCGAATCTAAGGTCTCGTCTCGAGATATTTAATTAATTGAATATCCTTATTCTCATTAAATTTTGGTAAAATAAATAATTAATCAATTGCTTGATAGACTTTTTAATTTGTTTTATTTCTGCATGTGTTTTCAAAGGGTTTTTAAAATAATAATGTTAGACCAGAAATAATTAAATATTAATGTTTTCACTCTTAAAATTATTTTGGGTGTTATTATTTGGAAATTTAATATTTTTTTATTTCAATTGGAGTAAGAATCGATTGCTTCAAGGTATGATAGATTGGTTCTTCTCGATATGAAATAATTAAATATTATTATCTTTCATTCAAAATTTCAAAAAATGTTATTTTAGGGGATCTTTAATTAAATTAGACTCGAACTTGTATATTTTATTGCAAAGACAATTAATTAATCGACTATGTACCAATTTAGGGCGTTGTGGGGGTGCTAATCCTTCTCCACACGTAACCGACTCCTGAACTCAAATTTTGGTAACGCAGACCCCAAGTTTTTTTTAATTAAAATTAATATTTTATTAAAATGGTAAATATATTTTTAGGTGCTCAATCACTCCCTAATCAAGGATTGGTGCGACTTCGCGAACTACGTTTTATCACAAACTGGTCGTTCCAAGATCATTTTCGAAGCAAGACCACCCCTTTCCCCCCAGGAAAAGACCATTTCGACAGTTTGGCGACTCTGCTGGAGACTTTTTTTTAGACAGTCAGGCCATTAGTCGATTAATAAAATTGCATTTGCAAATTAAAATTATAAGTTCACTCTAATGTGGCTTTTGATCCCCTGTTTGGTTTAAATTAGTGTTTGATTAACCACTAAATAGTTACACTAATATGTTTGCTGATGTTTACAGAGTAAATAATTGTTCATGATTTTGAGTTTTCTGTTTGTTATTATTTACTTTCTTTTCACTTTTCCTCACACACTGCATAGCTGTATTTTCATAACATGGGCTAAAACCCCGCTCCATCCTATTTAAGTAGGAGTGAGAAACTACTCCCTCGTGTGGTTTTCACCTCCGTACGGGATAGTAGATCACTCCTTGGGCTCACACCTTATGATCTCCGTGATGGTTTTCACCTCCGTATAGACATAAGGAAGCGTGTCCCCTCAAATTGAACTCGATCCGAATGCCTGTGATGGGCCAGGATTGAGGGTTTGGCAGTCTAAGGGGGTACCGGCAAAGGACAATTCGAGGACCTCTCACTTTAGAACCAAACCCATCATGTAGTACACTTAGAACCCAAATACAACCTTACCCAGACCATATCATATTATAAGGAGAGTACACAAGGAAAAGCTTATTTGAGCATTCTTTAGTGTAATTTTAATTTCTCGAATAAATGTATGCGAACTAGAGATCATGCGGTTAGGTTTAATTTCTTGAGTAAGCATGCGAACTAGACGACATGAGGTTAGGATGTTTTATAAAGGAAGCATGTGGGTAGAAATCCTGTTTGGGTAGGATCTATTAAAGCATGATTACTGATCGATTTTCTATCTTTTTGTTTACTTTGTCATCATCCTGTATTGCACTATTCATCTCATTGGTGTTGATCCATGATCGATGTCCATATAGAAGACTAGTAATATGGAACGAATGATTCAAAAAGAGGTAGAGGATAATGCAGACGTCTTGAGATGGTCCGAGCGGTCCCAATTAACAAATGGAGACAGTTTATCGACATGATATGTATCAGAGCTGAGTGGGTATACTCACATCAACGTTCGTCAGAATGATCTGAATGAGCTGAGAGAAATTTGGGGAAGATGGGAAGTATCTGATAAGCAGTTGTTTTATCAACTCTATGCAGATATCTCATATCTTCTTGATATCCCGATTTCCGAAATCTGTTTAGAGCTCTGGCTCAGTTCTGGAACCCCGCTTATAGTTGTTTTACATTTGGCCCAATGGACCTGACGCCTACTATAGAGGAGTACCATGCCTTGATGTGTTGCCCGAGGTTCCAAGTACACAAAGTATACACCAAGCCATTGAATACTCCTTCCTTTAAGAAGAAACTGCTTCTGATGACCGGTATGAGCGAAGAATGGGTTACGAGAGGCATAAAAAAAGAAAGAAAACAGCTAAGAGATCAATAATCAACCTAAAAGAAAATATGTTTTTTACTTTTCAATTTTATGTCTTCATTAATATGTGTTACAATAAATTTGAATAAAATTTTAACAATTTCTGCATTAACTCGAATTCTAAAAATATATAGAGTTCGAGATACAAATTTCAAATTCGATTAAGCATCCAAATTCAACAAAAAAAGAAAATCGATTTGACGAACAAATTTTTCACCTTGACAATAAATTCTTCACTTTTTTCATCTTCAACAATGAATATCAATCAAGCCCAAGAAATGCTCAAACTTAACCAGAACAAGTGACTTAATCATATATCCGCATGACTATCATGAGTATTAATTTTTCTCAAAACAATATCACCTCAAATAATAATATCACCTCAAATAATAATATTACATATAAAATAATATCGTATATCAATACGTTGTCTTTTTATAAAAATACTTTATCATTTGTATGGAAGATTAGACCTTAACTGTCACAAAACATTACACTGATTTGAATGTCTTCGCGAAATCCACTAATGGTCTTTTTTTTTTTTAACTTTGTCTATGCTTTGATTTCTCACATGAAAAAGGCGAATTTGCACAATACATGTCATGATCTATGTCGATAACGAGGGTGGTCACAAAAAATCATCATTATCGTCATCGTCGTCGATTGATGGATCGAACCCTGACTATTGCTCAGGCCTGATTTTAGGCTAACTTTAGAGCCTCAACTCATGAGAGAAGATGGGCTCGAGCTAAAGGTACTGTTATAAGGCATGTCGGGTTGGGTTTTGGTTTTCCATTTCTGTACATGGATAGGGTAGATGGGTCGGATACTGGGTTTGGAGATCTATAACACATACATTATTATTGTTAGGGGTATGTAAAACTCGGGTTGACTAAAAAAAATGATTCGTCTGACTCGATTCAAAAAATCTCGACATGAATTGATTTGGAGTTGTAATTTTATAAACTCGACTCAACTCAAAAAATTTCAAGTTCAAATCGAGTTGTAAAATACAACTCGAGTAACTCGAAATTTTTAGTAATTAGTAGATTGATTTTCAAGTTTGAGTCGAGTCCCTTTTCTTTGTATGATATATGATTATCAAATATGGAAAAAATATTATAAATATTTATAATTAAATTTAAACAAAAACTCAAAAATTCGATTCAACTCGACTCGACTCGAACAAATTTTCAAACCAACTTCTAGTTGTAAAATAAGACTTGTCAACTCGAATAACTAGAAATGTTTTTATTCGATTCGATCGAATACTCACCCTTAATTATAGCTCGATGGGGATGAGGTTCAATTAGAGAGCCTATCTAACATGGTTTACACACACATATGGTTAGAATCTACTTATATTGTATAAAACTCTTTTAGTTTTAAACTTTTTTAGGATCGTTGGATTAAGGAAAATGAATGGTTGAGATTAACTCCTTGTCTTCTCATTTTCTACTGTTAATCTCAGCCTTTGAATTCCCTCAATCCAACGGTCCTAAAAAAGTGTAAAATTAAAAGAATTATATATATATAGGACTCTTTGTCTTGTCGTTGGTAAATTTTGAACAGAAACTGGATCGATTAATTATCAAAATTTTTAGAGCATTATAGATTATAGGACTCCTTAATTAGTTTTAAGTCAGATTGATTATGTGAATTCTTTCCCTTGAGCTGAAGATAGAGATTAAAAGTATTGTTCGACGCAAGTGCTTGAAGCCTATGTATAAATCAAATAGGTTAATTATTTGTCAGTAATTTAATCCATCATTTCACGATTAAACAAATTATAAGATGGATAATTCCATATTTACTCGAAGAAAAAACAGTTCGAAAAACAAATTAACACTAAAAAAAAACAATATATTTAGTCCAACACTAACAAGCAAAATTTTACAGCACAAAGTCAAACAATTTAACAGTTTTCTTTTCATCTCATCAGAAACTTTGCCCCCAAGTTCGATCATCAGAGAATCAAATTTCAACTTCAAATGATCAAAAAGAGGTCAAGATTCAAATGAAGATATGAATGAGGTTTTTTTGTTATCATGAAATGAGAAAACTAAACTAAAACAATCCCATTTAAGGAACATTTGTTGATCCCCTAAAATTAATTGTTGCGACTCTGCATGTCTCTCACATTGAGATTTCATATTTTGTCAATTGTTCCATCTCCCAATTTAGTTTTGATGCCACTTTTTCATGTTGTGGTTCATACTCCTGTTTACAAATAAGGAATGACTGATTAATTAGTTATTCATAAAAAATCTAGGGCAAACTATATATTTAGTCGCACAATTATCATTTTGGTTCTATTTTGATCATTCAACTAATTTTTTTTATAAAAAAAACCATACCTAACATTACATTTTGATTTTGTTTTGGTCACCCACCTTTAAAAAATTAATAACGACGCTGACATGTCACCATATGGTAACACCACATCATCATTGAGAAACATAAAAAAAATATTACGTCGACACTTTTGTTTAGGTTTTAATGGCGGTGACCAAATCGAAACCAAAATGTAACGTTAAATATGATTTAAAAAAAGAATAATAGTTTTGGGTGATCAAAACAGAACTAAAGTGATAATTAGGTGACTAAACAGTGATGGAGCTACCTTTGTCCTCCCGGGGAGCATTGGCCACCCCCCCAACTATTTTTTTTTCCAAAAATTATATGGATAAATCATGTTTTGCCCCCTTATTTTCTATAATTAATTATACTTTCCCCCTCATTTTTTATGGTTAATTATACTTTATCCCCTTAAGTTGGAGTTCTTGCTCCGTCCATGTTACTAAATACATAATTTACCCAAAAATAATCTAATTATTTTGCAAGTGTAAAGTGAAACTAAAAGTGAACCTCCATGGATTTGACCAAGTGTTGGGGAGTGGACGCAGATACAAGGATATGGCGTGCATTAGGAGAGATGAAACCCTCTTCCACTGCTTTGTCAATGAACAACAACAATGAATTGTAATATCCATCCACATTCAACAATCCCACCTGCACCATTCTCAACCATCTTTAATCAAATTTAATAATATTGTACTAAAAATGCAGAGAATGATGAGAAGGGAATATTACTGGTTTATCATGGATTCCAAGTTGAGCCCATGTTATTACTTCTAGAAGTTCTTCAAGAGTTCCATACCCACCTTCATCAATTCAATTGAAAAACTTAGGGTTTAGGGATGATTCCACTCGACTAGTAACTATTAAAAACCGGGGATCTCGTAACAAAATAAAAGTATGCATACATACATACATACACATATATTAATCATTGTATTAATACCATCATTCATTGGTTAAAGCATTATCTACCAACCAGGTAAGGCAATGAAGGCATCCGATTGTCTAGCCATCTCTGCCTTCCTTTGGTGCATGTCTGAAACTGCCTTAACTTCACCCAATGTCTCTCCGGTTATCTGAAAATGCTGACTTATGAGCATAAACTCAACATAAAAGCAATGCAAATGTCCAAATAATATCCACTTTTTTTTCATATTTTTTAAATAGTATAATATGATTATAAGATAATATTTGTTCATAATTTTTTTAACCAATTGAAACATGCAGTCAAACTCAAATCATATACGAAGAATAATATTCATTTTATAGCTGAAATCACTCAATAAATTCTTTTTTTTTTTTCAGTAGAACAAACAATGATGATGAGTTGCAGATGTGGTGGGCTCAGTCCACAAAAATATGATTTTTCTCAGCAAGTTGAGAGACACTCATCCTCAATCACAAAATAAAAAGAGACACATAACATGCACCATCTAAACCCGATATTATGCTAAGAATGATGATGTTTATGGTGGGCAAAATAAAACCCATTGGAGGAGACAGAAATGGTGAAGGCCCATATACCCTCAGGTGGAATTTAATGATTTAAAAATGAAGATCATTATTAAAAAAATCAGAAAAACAAAGGGTGGTTTGGCAACAAGAAAAAGTCTAAATTGGAACCTGCAGGAGACCCAAAAGAGACGGTGTGAAGCCCCATATTTAAAAAGATACCAAAAGTGAGGCAGAAATTCATGTCATGGGAGGCTACCACTAGAAAAATTTATAAAAATACACACTTTCTAAATAAACAGATAATGTTATTCTTCTCTTTTTGGTACAAGAACTAAACCAATAGAACACAATACCTCTCTAGGCATGAGTGTCTTGGGAATCACTCTGCAGATAATAAACATTGAGGAAGACAAAATTTAAAGCTCAGCTTGGTGAATGTTTTGGATTAATTTTAATGAGAAAAAGAAGAACAATGAGTACCCAATGACATGTCGACCACCATCAAAGACTGCTTGAGAAATCAAACCCATTAGTCCAATACTGCGACCTCCATACACCAGATCAATATTCCTTGCAACCTTTCGTTTAGAAACAAGAATTTGAGAAAGAAAACAGATTAAAATACATAGCCAAAGCAGAGGTGGATTACCAATTCCCTGCCGAGCTCAATAGCAGCTTCTCTGTAACTGCTCTTCTTTCCGGGGCTACTGCCACAAAACACACAGATCCTTTTGAATTTTGATTGTTTCGTTTCAATCTTTGCCTCCATTTGTTTAAAAGAGGATATGGTTTGCTTGAATGAACAAAAGGATAAAGAAAAAGGAAGAGGGAAATTGAGAATGAAAGTGGTGTTGGGTGCATATATATATAACGGCGGGCAGAGGCTACAAGGTTGTCGACTTGGCATGCTTAAACCCCATGATAGAATGGTCCAATGTCGCGATCCAACACTCGCACCATTATTGCCCTTACCCCCTTTGTTTTATCCGGCTCCAATCAAATTGCTCTTTCTTCTTTCTTTTTGTTTCATTTTTGTTGATTTGATTTCAAACATGCAAGTTAAAAATCTTAAATTTTACCTACTTTTTTTTTATATTTTACTATTAGGGTCGTAAATACGAGACAAATCTCAAATTATTCGAGTTTGATTTGATCAAAGCTCGATCAACATTCGAATTGAATAAATTCAACTCGAGTTCTTAACGAGCTAAAACGAGTTACTTAATATCCGACTTGAAAACCTTACGAGCAACTCGAAAAGTAGGACATTAATTATATGAATACTTTCTCCCCTGTAGCCAAATTGGTCACAGTTAGAGTTGTTCTTGCACTTGCTGCTATGTTCAATTGACCACTCCTTTATATGGATGTCCATAATGTTATTCGTCTATGCATGAGCCTTCCTGAAGGAGTTTGCAACCAAAAGAGGAATATGGTTTACATGTCATAAAAATTCCTACATGGTTTAAAGCAAGCTTCAAGACAATAAAACTTTAAACTTACCGAAACATTATTAGCAAATGGTTATCAACAGAGTAAGTAAGATTACTGGTTGTTTACTAAGAGACAAGGAAGCAAGCTGGTGGTTATACTTATTTATGTAGATAAATTGTTGTTGGCTGAAAATGATTTAGAAATGATTAATGAGTTAAAGGAATCTTGAATAAAAGTTTCAAGATGAAAGACCCAAGTAAATTAAAATATTTCTTAGGTCCTGAAGTCTTAAGATTTGAGGACGAAATATTGTTGAATCGGAGAAAGTACACTCTAAACTTACAAAGACATTGGATTGATAGAAGTAAACCAGCCTTAACATCACTAGAAAAAAACTTGAAGTTTACATTAATGGAGTTTGATGAAGGCACTAGGTGTCATTAAGAAGATGATATTCTGGTTAAAGACAATATAATTTCAAAGCTTGATTGGGAGGTTTTTGTATTTAACACACACTAGGTCATATATTACTTATGTAATATATAATATATCATGCAGTCAATTTATTTAACAACCCATAAGGACACATCTTGAAGCAGCAATGAGAATAGTCAAATACTTTAAAATTAATCCTGGGTAGCGAGTGCTATGGAAGAGTTTCAAGCCAGTGTCAAATTAGAGTCTTTTGTGATTTAGAAGGGGCAACATTACCAATGTCAAGGAAATTGTTAGGAATTTGCAAGCCGAAAAATAACTAAAGTGAATTCAACATAAAATAAGACATGAATAAGAGATGAGATTTAACATGGTTCAGTCTTTTCTATCTCCACAAACGAGAAGAACAATAATCCATTATAAATGTAGAGATCCTAAAGGTTACAAATACATTATATTGCATGTATCCTAAAATTTGATATTTATACTAAAATCCGAAATATCCCGAATCACTCTCTCAATGTCCCTACAAAACTTATCTTTGTAATATAAACTCCAAAAGTTACAAATTAAGACCCTAAAAAGGATTACACCTCTCCAAAATAATTCTTTCTCACTTAATTCTAAGGCATTCTCTATTTCTAGAGTCAAATACTTGCTCAACAAGAATTCTTATGTTGCATAAAATAAATATTTACTAATTAAATAAACTTAATTATCAAGTAATCTTCAACCACTAGAATCACAACAAAATCTAACTTAATTACCAATTATAATTTAGGTCAAACTTTAACAAAAATCAATAACATATTTTTGTGTAAAGCTATAGGATTCTTTAATTTTCTCAAAATTAAAGAAACGAAATACCATTGCTAGATAAAAAAAAAATAATAGAAGCATGACAACAACTATTGTTGAGATAGTTTGGTTGAAAGATTTATCGTGACAACTTGGGATAGAAACTATACAACCAGTAAGATTGTACAGTGACAACAAGACAACACTACAAATTATAGCAAATTCGATTTTTCATGAGAGAAAGAAGCACAATGAAATTGATTGTCACTTTATTAGGGGCCATAGTTTTCGGGCTAGCAGTTTCGGGTTTACTTGAGAGTCAAGTGGATCCCGCAGAATTTATAATTCAAGTCGTTGGGATTAATTGGGTTAGTATTGGGCCCATTAACCAGCAGTGTAATTACCCCATTATTGAGGATGAGAGCATTTATATTCCCTCATTTCATTTTCTTCCTCTCATTTTCCATTTTCTACTTCCTCCTCCTCAAGCTCCTTAAGCCAAGGTGAGTCCATTGAACCATTTCTTACCTCTTTCAAGTTTAATTTTTGTTATTAACCCCTCAACCAACATGGATTTAACCAATCAAGCCATGGGTTCTTTGTTTGCAAGAGAAAGTTGGGGATTTTATCATCCAAGTCATGGTGGGGGATGATTTCTAGCTAAAATAGCTCAATTTCGGGATTCAATCATGAAGGTAGTGTATTTCTAATCCTTTGGAGTATCAAGTTTCTATAAATTTCAAGAATTTGCTAAGATTTATATAGATGAGTTTATTAGGTTTTAAACTTGATTTCAAGATTAAATCACGTTTTAGTAGTTAAGGAAGTGTTTTTATGACACCTAAGGATCCTAAATAACTTACTAGAACTTTAGAATTAGTTTAGGAACCAACCCAAGTCATTTAGGATTATTTTGAGTGATTTCTCAAGCATAATATATCATTTTTAGGGTTCAAGTATCGATACTGGGATGAACAATATTGACACTGGTTGAATTGGGGCTAAAATTAGGGTTTTCAGAAGGGAGTATTGATATTGCCAAGGTGAGTATCGATACTGCCTACAATATCGATACTCAGGGTAGCAGTATCGATAATGAGGCCCTAATTTCGTAGCAAAATGCATTTTTTATACAAATACTCATAAGAGTATTGATACTTGACCCTAGGGTATCGATACACAACTAGAGTATCGATACTACCCCACTCAGTATGACCAGATTCGACACGATTAAGGTCCGTAAGAGCTAGGGATGGTCCGTAAGGACAAGACTTAGTCCGTGAAGGATGTGAATGGCCAAAGGGGCCTAGAATAACTCGTAGGAGTGAGTTATAACTAGTGTGACCATAACAAGCGTAATGCGTCTAAGTGTCTTCAGTAAGTACGTAACAGATATTTATGGATGATGGATCAGTGCACAGGGTGTACCGTAGAGGTACGACAAGTAATCAGATTATGAGACAGTAGTGTCGTATATCGCAAGAACAACTGAGAGTGTTAGATGCATTTATTCCTTTAATTCAATGGTGAATTGAGGGAAAGCGTAGGATTAGCGATTAGAGCATCTATACTCAGAAACAAACTCGAGTCAGATATCAGGCTAAATCAAAACCCTATCCAGTAAATAGTAAACACAATAATCATCATGGAGTTTTGAAATGCGTAGAGACTTCCCCAGAGTTAGAGATGAGTAAAATCCTTAGTAGCGTATAACCAGATCAATACAAATTAACAAAAATAATAGACTAGTAATTCTTGGCATAACGTTCTAGATTAGAGAACGAGCGAGTTAACATCTAGGGTGAATGGTAAACAATATCAGTAATAATAGTAACAACTAGAAACAATAAAAGTTAGGATGTCATAAAACTAGCCTTTATGCGACATTCAAGAAACAACCAGGACACTCGAGTTACTTTAGCAGTAGGGTGATTGTCTTGTTGTCGCTATGTTCAATTACCAGTCAATGCCAAGGCACTTCTTTTTTCATATGGGTATAGATATCTCGATACTCGACGAGTAAGTTGGCAGGGTGTACGTTTCGATGAAGCTCCAAATCTCACCCCATATATGAGTGTACGTTTTCGATATAGTTTCGGATTTCACCTCAGGTATATAGGATATTCCAACAGGATAGAGGGGTGCGTGAGCTCTGAGATACAACCCCTCAACCACCCATGATGCCTGTCATAGCTTCATGTTTGTTGTGTATCATATATTAGTATCTGGTAGGATAGAGGGGTACGTAAGCTCCTAGATGCAACCCCTTACCCATGATGCCTACCTCAGCTAGTGTATGAGTCATAGAGTCAGTATTGCATTCAATAATACACCGTAGAATCGATATTGCATTCATAATGCATAGCAGTTAGCATGCCATTCAGATAATGCAAAGTAGAACAATATCACATTTAGATAATGCGTAGCAGATGCATACATTGGGGTTAGAGACCTTTAGCGGTGCTCATGGCTAAACCCTTAGAAGAGGATTTATGGAAGCATGAGACCTCTACTCCAGAGATAGAACAGCTAAGCCTTAAGTAGGTAGCACTTGATCTAGATCATGCATAACCTACTGCTTAAAGCCGTTTTCAGCATGCCTGTGTTTATGAAATCTACTGCTTAAAGCCACGTTTTCAGCATGCCTGTGTTTATGAAATTCTTATGCTGCTCTAGATTAGCAATTATACTTTTGGGCTTAGTAAGCTCAGCCTTCATATGTTTTCCGTTGGTAGGATAGTACCATGAGCATTCGTGGAGCATCGTCGCAGTAAGACTTCTAGCATCTCCGTCAAAGTACTATACCGTGCTTAGTGGGCATATGTATTTATAGTACCTTTCTTATGTATTTAGTTTATTAACTCAGAGTTGTATTATTTTTTGTTTTTAAATTATGTGTCACGGAGCTCCGATTTTGTAAACTAATTGTAATAACAATATGTATGTTTTAATTATGATACCATTTAGTATGTTTGAAAAGAAAACGAACAGGATTTTAAAATCAAGGGTTGCGTCGGTAGTCCAATGTGGCACTTTAGGTCCAATCGAGTTTAGGTGTTACAAGGTGGAAAAAATACAAAATGTTCGGATTCAAGTAAAACATGTGAGGTTAGCATAACAAGTTGCAAAAAT